GTATTTGGCACAATTTGCAGATTTATTGGAATCTGACACAGCTCTGCCATAAGCACTTCTGCTATGGCCTGGAACTTGCAACCTCTGGGCTGGTGCCTTAGTGCCTGCACCATGCCAGGCCTTCTAACAATAGGTGTTATTAGCAGACCAAATAAAACTCTGCATGCATGTGTGTGCATAGAGCAGAGAGGCACTATCCAGATCTGCAGCACACTGGAACTAATCACAGTCACAGATGACAAACACAGTCACCAAATACTTCAGCTGTCCCCAGGATCTACTATTCTTTAGATGTAAAAATGTGCCTAAGGCTTTCTCTTGGCTGCATATATTATATGGGGTGAAAAAGGGTAAAAAGGAAGAAAACAACTGAATAAACAGCTGTGATAAGTCTTCAGTCTGAAAGCAACCTCCCTAGGTATCAGTGCATTGCTACCTGATAGCTGTTTGCTGGTTCACATAAGGAGTCAGTGGTCTCTACTAGAGAAGTTTCCACATCAAATATCAGTACCAGAACTGCTGTGAATTTGGTACTGATGTCTACAGCTTCCATAAGGTAATCTTCAGCAGGCACAGACACTGAACTATCCATCCAGAATCAGTGCACACCATTGCTAGACTTGTGAGGAGCCTGAAATCTGTCTAAATAAAGAACTTCAGTTTCTAGAATTGCAAGCCTGAGGTATGCCTTAACTTCACTAAAATATTTATGCAAAGAAACTGAGCACAAATGGAGAAAAACAAGGGAACTCCTTCAGGGCATGAAATAATCACCCAAGAGACCCTTTAAAGCTTACAGACCATCTAAAGTGTCCCTAATCTACAGCAAGCATTTTCCTTCACCTCTCACCACTCTGTAATCATCTTCTCCATTACTATTCCAGCTACTGCACTCATCCTCCAAGTCACTCTCATGTGCATCATCATCATCAGCTGCTAGCAGGAGGCAGAGAGAGTCTGAGATCAGCAAATAAATGGACCAGAAGGGCTAAGGAAGGCACAGAATTAAATAACCACAGACCACAGGCAGTACACACAGACTGTGACCTACTAAGTGGCCAGTGGCTTAGATTACAGTGCAACTATACATAGGTGTCTGTGTTATAACCTGTTCATCTTGTTTTAACTCATTCAGTTCCTGGCTACAATTCTTTTGAACCACAATGGGAAAGCAAATAAAAATAAATAAATAAAGAGAAATAAAAGGACTGGCCCTCTTGAAATTATTTTCTGTTCCCTTGAAGTTCTTCAAGAAGGCTATGCCTAATTGTAATTCTGGAAATCCTACTTTAAGGACTACTGCAAACAAAATTTAAAAGGGCAAATTTAATTAGATTAGGCAAGGAAAATGTGTATAGCTCCTATGGACTGCCAATTCAAATCCCACCCTAGACTCCCTTAAGTAAACTCATTTACTAATGGAAGTGGCAGACCAAATCCTGTACATAGGACACACACTTTTTTCAAAGGAATCCTCTGGGAACTGTGCACTGCAAAGATGCAAAGGAGAAAATGAATCCCTCCATTAACAACCAAACATTTAATAATGCTGAATTTCTTTTTTGTGGAACTCCTTTTTAAATTTTTATAATCACAAAGTTATCTGTATATAAAAGCTGCCTCACATGAGGTAAAGTTGCACAGTGCTTTGAAGCCAGCATACTAACAATGACATATGTAATCCTTTTTTTTTTTGCTTTGAGATCCTACTTGATACACTTTCAAGATCTGTTACATTTACTTAAGAAATGAGCGATTGGAATTTTCACCTTGATTCATTTTTCATAATTAAAATAAAGATAACTGAACTAAGTCAACTGAAAGAATAAAGAGAAGAGATGGCAAGGTCTATAGTGTGTACCTGACTCAGGCAGCAACAGCCAGAGCACAAAACTGCTTTTCAGTGGATAGCGAAACGCCAAATACAGAATAGCAGATGCACTTAGTTAATATACTATATGCAAAACCTTTATAAGCAATATATTAAGCATGGAGTGGTCTGGCACTTTTATTTCCATTTTACAGATGGGGAAACACCTGCAATACCCACTCAGGTGCATGGTGCTCATAACTTACACACTATCTTCTGCTCTCTTCTGGACTTCTCTCCCTCAGCCGTACTCTCTCCCTTATCACTGCTCTTGTTTCACAACACCTCTTTCCCACTCAGGCCTACCTTGCTGATCTTGTTCCAGGACCCCTGTTGAAGAACTCCACCCACAGACTCTGCCGGGCCTCTGTCTAGCCCTTCCCAGAAAGAAAGGGAGAGACAAAGAGAAATCCACACCACCTCTCCCCTGGGACTCCCCCTTACAGGTTTCCATTTCTCTGTCCTTCTCTTTTTTCTCTCCCTCTTGGGACTTCTCTCTTCTCCATGATCTTGCTCCTTTAAGATTTAATATACATCTCACCCCCCAGGGTAACCAGTCTATACCAGGGTATAGCTAAAATCAGTAACCAGGGTACACCTAAAATCTCAGACCCTAAGTCATCTTCCTTAAATTTAGAGCCCATCCCAGGCAGTGGATGTTGCCTTCTCAGCTCACTTGGTGGGTGGGAGCCCCAGGCTTGAGTGTCAGAGATGCTTGACACTGGCAGTTCTCCCTTATTTCTGACTCACATGTTCTTGGTATCTCTGACATTTGAAAGACTGTCCCTGTTCCCTTCCCTTGACTTATTTGATGCAAAGTACAACAAGAATGGGTTACTGGGATGAAATTATTTATTGATACATCTGTTAGATTTAACTTTCCATCCTGTAATGAATTAAAAGCAATAGGATTTTGTGGTCTCCTAAAGGGCTCTGAGCTGTTTACACAAGCTAGACAGTGGTGAATTGTCCTCTAGAGGCAAGTTAACTGATCCTGTTACTGAGAAGTCTGTATCTTTTGGAATTTAACAACAAAGCAGGAAAAGAAGAAAACATGAAACCTCTTATTGTACCAACAAATGATTTATAATATATTAGCTTTGAGGACAAAAAAGCTCCTTCAGACTTGTCTCCGTAAGAAGGGAGCTCCTGGAGCAGAAACCTTGTTTATTATAAATTATTTGTTGATTCAGTGTAAGGTATCAGCCTGTTATCTACTATTTCCCATGATAGAGGACTGACCACAAGTATTTTCTGGACACACAAACAAAGTAAGTAATATTACCAACAGGAAGCAAGATGTTGGAATATGCCAACACAGAACCACTATACAACAAAGCCCACATAAATTTCAGTGACAGCACAAAAAACATAGACCTGGAGAAATTGAAACCACTACTCACAGCTTATAAAACAAGGCAGAGCTTCCTCTGAAACCTGCTTTCTTCCTGCTGTGCAATGAACTAAAGGAGGTTAGGTTACAACATGTAACCACCACTTTTCATGTTGAGATGAAATGAGAGGAACGGGAAAAGAGACAAGGGCTGGAACACAAACCACAGGTCTGCCCACCCAAATAATGTACAAAGCAGCTTAGTGGGTAATTTAAAGGTCAGAGCTTACACATGCACGCAGTTTCCATAAGCACAATCTCCTCCTGACAAACCCATGAATTAAACTGATGCAGCCTGAATAATATTCTAACCAACTGACTTCAACATCACTCCTCCCCTCTGCCCTTTCTACACTTTACCCCATGCTAGCGAAATACTGGAACGGTGGTAGATCAGGTTTCTGTGAATCTGACAAGACGCACATAGGTTTGCTACCTGTAACAAGTTAATTACATTCAAAAACTCATAAACCAACATTTCCCATAAAGGACAACTGTATCCTAAAAAGTGACAAAGTAAAAAATATCAGACCCTTAGTTAATGGCAACAATGGTAAGGCTTATTAATGGTAACAATGATAAAACTTCAGTTCTGTCTATAGCAGGAGTATTTGCCTGCATTGGAAGGTCGGTATACTGTTCTGCCTCAGTGCTCCTGGTATAGATGCAGCTGTACCAGCTAAATGTGCTTGGAAAAAACATTCTGCTTCCCCAGCCACCAAAGGAAACAACCTGCACTGGTAAAAGCACAGTTCTGCCATTATTTGGTGGCATCTCCTTTAGGGACTCCTGCCAACACAGCTATGCTGGTCAAGAATTAAACCTCTTGCCATCCTTACCCAACACAGTAAGACCAGCAGAAGCCTGGGGTATAGACAAAGCCTTAGGATAAAACCAGATTTAGGTTAATTTCCTCCATTCACCCATTTCTCCTACCTCTGTTTGGGATGGAGAAACAGAAGAGGGACAAGGGATTGTGCACATTTGTCTATACTGCACTCCTGACATGGCACTTCCTTGTAATGTGTGAAAGCAACTGCACCTTAGCCAGGGATATAAACCACCCCCATTCTGATTAGACAAGCATCCTAACTGAGCAAATAGCTGTTGAGTGTAGAGGTGTCTGCAGGGCCATGTCATCCAGCCCTCCAGGCCTGTGAGGCTCCTCAAGCACGTTATGGAAACACTAATGAATGCTGCCACTGCCTACCCGCCACCAAATTTCCAGATACATGGGAAGCCCTGTAGGCTGGATGATATGGCTCCATGGGCACACAGGGTCACTTTGCAGCAAGATTGTACTTGTGGACCACCCTTATGCATCAATCCCATGTTGGATCTGGCCTGTGGACCAACTCTGCCTGTGATGTCATTCATCTAGTCTGTAGGGGCAGATGGTCAAGTACCACTGATACAGTGTATTAAAGTAAATAGCTACCTGAAGAGGAAAGAAGTAGATTCAGAGCTGACTAGCCTTGGTAGACTCACAATGCATTGGTATTGCTAACCCTTAATGATTAACTGCAAGTCTTATGAGGGAGAAGGAGCAGCTGGGAGGATTAAACCCAATCATTCCATGTCCTATTCTTCTTCAACACCTGGCACCTCCCTGGCAGCACTCCATAGTCTAGTAAACTGAATTCAAGGTTCCTTTAGAGTTAGGATGAGAGAAGGAAGAGTCCAGGTACACAGAGCTAACTGCAATTTATGGCTCCTATAGGCCTTGTTTGGACTTACCCACACTAGTAGGGAATATGTCCTCATTGTTGATTTGCACCTCAATCCAGTCCATGAGAAGGTTCATATACTGAGGTGCTGGTAACGCTGTGGGCTTCTTGTACCTCAAATCATCCTGCCACCTGTACTCGTACTTAGGGCCCCCAGACATCACAGGGCAGGTCCTCTCTGTGCAGAACTCACAGATCGTTCCATAGATGAGATTGATCCTATTAAAGAAGTCCACCACATGTACTGCCACCCAGTCATTTTGGTCTTCTCCATTCGGCAGCTGCACAGCTGCTTTCAGGTCCACCCCTGAGTTCAGAGAGGCCTGTGCTCGTTTATGGAGCTCAAACCTCTGGGTCCCAGGTTCAAATTTCCTTTTGGGACGGAAGGTCTTGTCCTTATTAAAGACTTGCTTGAGTGCTATGGACATGTCTGGTGAGTTTCTGACCTCCAGAAGCTGGCAGAGAGGCACGAAAAAGATGTAACGAGTGAAGCCAAAGTGAACGCGCTTCCTGTCACAGGTCCTTAGGCCTGGCTCTTATCCCAAAAGCTGTTGTTGACGCTTATACAGTCCACTAGCTCCTCCTCTTGAAAGCCTTCCCAGGAGATGTCATGTTCCTGAAGATACATGGAGAGAAAAAGGTTAGCATTAAGATAGACGCTGTGCCTAACAATTGGCTAGCTTTATCACCACTCTCAAATGGGTACGTGTCACATTTTTTATAAGCTGAATGGTAAAATTCACACATATATACATTTACACACAGGCAAAATTTAAAAAAATGGTTATTTACTTGGATGTTTCTCTATTTAGGGCCCAACCTGAGACAGGTGAATAGAGCTTGATCTGCTTTGGGTCATCAGAACCTGCCTGCTTTAAAACTTCTCAAGTTGGATACATATAGGCCACCTCTACGTATTAAAGGCACTGCACAATTCACCAGTTAATTAACTGGTGAATTGTGCAGTTATCTTGAGACCAGTACACATGCAAAGAACTGACTGAACAATAAGAAGCTCCAACCAGCTATGAAGTTAGACCTTGAAAATGCATACTAATTTTACAGCTGGTTGCTATCCAGCTTTCATTTGCATATGTAACAGGGTCTGTCCTGTAGCTCGGAGTCCCATCAGCTGGCAGGGCTCCCAGCCACAGAAGTGCACCTTCCTCAGATGGGGCTGCAAGTCCTGCAACTGCTGGGGCCTCCCAGCCCTACAGCTGGGGTCTCTGGCTCCCGGTAACTGCAGGGAGTGGAGTCCCACAGCTGAGGACGCTGGGTCCCCAAAGTGTGCCTCCTGGCTATCCCCCTTCCCTGGGAGTACATAAAACGTGGGGGATTCTCTATTCCAAGGGTTTTGTGAATCTGCGGGACAGGGAGATCATTGCAGGAGCTTGCTTCTTACCAGTGCAGGGGAACCCTGGGATCAGGTTCCCCCTGCACCAGCAATAAAACATGATGGGATCAAATGTGTGATCACACAACTGCACCTCCTGCCATGCACACATGGCACAGCAGGGGGTGTGATTGTGTGAATTGCACACTAGATCTCACTGCACCTTTACCTGTACATGTAGAGGAGGCTGTAGTCACAAGATGAAAGGGAAATGAAATTTGTTTTTATAACATATTCCCATGTTCTTACTGCATCCATAATTTAGAAATGTAGCTTATAGTTTGGTTTAATTTTTTTCAGTGATCACAGTTCCTCAATATTTGAGTTTACCCAAGAATACTGTTGTTCTTCAGAAAAAAATGTTCTATCTAACTGTTCATAATACATAGCCCAGTGCTTTTGCACCATCACTACAGCATGGATTCTTCTTCCTGTGCTTGTAAGGTACAAAACTTGTGAATTAGTCCGCAGTGCTTGCTCAACTCTGAATGTTTAACTGAAGCATCTTTTTATGGGTCCTAATGGATGAAACCTTCAGTAATGTATAGAAATAATTCTTAAAGTGAACATAATTGATTGGCACTATTCTTCACATAAGTTTTTTAAAACTTGTATGGAATGCTATGGCAGTCTTCATTTCTCTGTTGAATCTTACAGAGTAGTTTAAAAAGCTATGGAAAGACTGTCACTGTCTATCAATTTCTATGGAACTTTTTCATAAAAAAAATTTGGTAGGTGATCCCCAAGATGGATAGCACTGGGTTTGTGGCCTATTTTCAAAATTGACCTGACAGGCCACAACATATGGTTTTCATAGCTGGACTACCTGGAAGAGAAATTATTCCTTCAGAACTGTGACTCTGTTCTGATCTGTATCTGTATAGGGAAATATTATCATATGTAAATGAAGTCTGTTAATAGCTGATGTAGTGGCTAGTTCAATGGGAGTTTTGCTTGACTAACAAAAAGGCTTTTTGACTTAAATCCCAGGAGGCCTTTTCATGCTGTGAATGATTCAAATTGAACAACAGCTTCTAAATATGCACAGAACCACCAAAATACTGTCCTATTAACTTCTAATGCATTCTTTTTATGGGATTATGCTGCTCCATTGTTCCCCTTTGAAAACCACAGTAAATTCTCCTAGACTGCATGTGCAAAGCACTAAATCTAAATTCTTCTGAAGATTATTGCCCAGAGCTTTTCCAAGGGGAAATGGAGGAGAAAAAAAAAAGGTGCTGTTTGTTTCTGAAGAATGTAAAAAAGCCATCTTAGGCCTCAGCAGACACGAACGTGGTGTGCTAGGCATGCCGTCCATATAATAGATGGTTATAGCCATCAGAGAAACTAAAAGTTAGAAAGAGATTAGCATCATGCTGATATAGCAATGTTGAGGTGGTAGTTATGCAACACTGGCACAAACATTCTCATTCTTTTCTTGATATTAGAACACCGATGCATTAATTGGACCACAGTGTATGGACACATTGAGGATGAGTTCGTATACACATTTTCCCTGTAACATCCATGGTAGCAAAGCAGTAAGAAGTCCAGAGATGGACAAAACCCTCCAAGGAGATGAACATCATGCCCAGCAAGTCTCTCAAAATAATTGTAAACCAGAACCTAGGTGAAGTGGCATCACACAACCTAGAAAATAGGGTAAGGAAAGGAAAGAAATACAGCTGGCTTTGGAACTCTGAGTTCAAGGGTATCAGACTTGCAGTGTATGGGCCAGATGTGGCTGGGAGAGGGACTGGGAATTCAGGGCAGAGCAGGACAAGCATTAAGCTAAGGTAATGCAGTCAACAGCATCACATGACAGTTCACCAAGGCCAAGTCATTCCACTTTCAGCTCACACAGGCTAAGCAGCACTGGGCTGTCATCACCTGACTGGGGAGTCCCTCAAGGTACAGCTACGTGCTGCAGGAAGTGGTATTAATGATTCAGCAAGTGAATACTTTCCCTCTGAGAAGGCACTGAGCTACTGACCCAATGGTCTAAGCAAGTGCTGTGATGCTGGAGGTGCCATTTTCTGTATACAATGCAAAACAGACACTGTAATTACTTCCATATCCCAATTTGCTTTTTAAAGGTGTAAGAAGGCTTGTTCCAGTGTTCTAACTAATCACAGCTCAGGCAATTAGGTTCTCCCCACATAAAACACACCTGTCATTTCTGGTTGGACATTTACTATCCTGTTTTCACCTGTTAATACATGCAATTAAACAGCTGCTCATATTCCAAATGCTTTACAAACTTTAGACCCAATGGCTGCTTGTTCGCGTTCTAACTAGGACACTCCAGAGTCACCTCACCATCACGTGTATTAAACCCCTGTGCATTTTAAATGGCTGTGGGTTTGCACTGAATGATGTTTAGATAAAACATCCTGCTAAATGTGTGTGGACTTAATACATGTGATAGTGAATGGTTTTAATTGGAGTGGCTGTCTGGGAACCACTCTAATTAAAATGCCCCCCTCCCCCAAGTATGCGTATAGGCAGCCAATGGTGCTATTACTGAGAACAAAATGAGTTTTGCCATCATGTTCGATAAGGGCAGAATGGGCCTCCATTAAAATACAGGCTGAAAAAAAAGTTCTAGGGACACAATTTGAGACAGTTCTCACAAAGGTCTATATGTCTTTGGGAGAAATGGGTGGATTATCTTTTATAACTATTCTGTATGCAAAAATACAAGTACTGTTGACTTAAATCAACATTGAAGATCTAAGATCATAGATGATCAACATGCACAGATCAACACACCAATGTAAAGCTGATGTAGTGGAATGGAGAAACAGACGCAAAACAAAGGAAATGCCAACTTGACTTGATTATTTCTTATCTTCTCTAGTCATATGCAGGCCAAGATTTACAGTTCAAGTCTGCCATTGCATATGCCCATGTACCTCTAACTAGACAAAATTATACTCTAAGGTATACAACTAGTTTTGAACTCACTAAAGCACATTTTTTAATTTATTTAATTTATAGATTCATAGATTGCAAGGGCTGGAAGGGACCTTGCAAGATCATAGGGTCCAGCCTCCTGCACTAGGCAGGAAAGACAACTGGGGTCAGGTGACTCCAGCAAAGTGACCGTCCAGTCTCCTCTTGAAGATTTCCAGGGTAGGTTATTGCACCACCTCTAGAGGGAATTTGTTCCACAGTCTGGACACCCTGACTTTGAAGAAGGTTTTCCTAGTGTTAAGCCTGAAACGATCTTCCAGGAGTTTGTGGCCATTACTCCTGGTTTTCCCCAAGGGTGCCTTGGTAAACAGTTGTTCACTGAGCCCTTGATGTATTCCCCTGATGTAGCGGTAAGCTGCTACCAAGTCTCCTCTCAGCCTTCTCCTTTTTTTATACTGAAGAGACCTAAGTCCCTCAACCTTTCCTTGTATGGCTTGCCTTTCAAGTCTCTGATTGTATGGGTGGCTCTTCTCTGGACTCGCTCAAGCTTTTCCACATCCTTGTTGAAGTGCGGAGCCCAGAACTGGACACAGCACTCCAGCTGCAGAGTCACCAATGATGAATAAAGCAGAAGAATCACTTTCTTGGTTTTGCTTGAGATGCATTATGCATGCATACATGCAATTTATATACTGCATTTCCCAATAAAGGCTCAGGGCAAGAAAACAGAAAAATTTAAAAAGACGGACAAGGCAGCTTACAAGGGAACTAGAACACCAAGATAAAACAGAGACCCCTAAACAAGATCTCATTTTGCCTTCAGATATGCACAAAGCTCAAGGGAATTGTGTTGTGATTCCTATATGCAGACTATGAAGAAATGGGGAGATACATCCTAGATATCCCACACAAAGAATTTAGGACTTAGTATTTTGTGACATAAAACCAAGTCTTCTCTCACATATTTTCCCATCCCTTTATTCATAACTATTTACTGCTTCTGCAATGTCAGAATATTCATGCCAGTCTCAGGGTTGTTATTCAGCTACAACTGCTTATGATACCTGTAAAATATGGCTGAAACAAAGGCTAGAAGAAAATCTTTCAGAGAGACTCATCTTCTTTCTCTTTTTCCCCTCAAGAGAAAACAAAATGGGAAGGAAAGGAGAAAAGAGGAAGGGTATCAACAGACTTTCATGGGTTCCTGTAGTGAAGTGACCCATCTCTGTGAGCTTTGCCTGCTGTGGGTATCTGCCAGCTCATTAAAAACCCTCTTAGCCCAAAAAGTACTACAGAAAGAAGAAATATCTCCTTTTCTGAGATAGCTGGCTTTTCTT